AATGATCCTGATTTGATGTTAACGTACCGAGACGGTACTGCAGCAAAAGATAATCCTTCAATAAAACTTCATCCTAATTCATTTTTAATTCAACTCTATTCAGACGGAATTGGAATAACAAATCCTCTAGGTCCAAAGAAGGACAAACATAAACTTACTTTATATTATTTCCTTTTAGAAGATTTACCAGATTTTGTAAAATCCATGTTGCAATCGATTGGTCTAGTTGGAATATGTCCGACAAAATTTTTATCGATACAAACAAATCGTATGAAATTTTTTGAACCTATTATAAAAGATTTGAATCATTTACAAACAACTGGTTTAGTTGTTCAAACATTCAATGGACAATTACATTTTGCATTTAGCTTATTCGCAGCTGACAATCTTGCATCTCACGAAATTGGCGGATTTCAACAAAATTTTAATTCAGGACAATTTTGTCGATTATGTCACATTTCTTATAAATTCAGATTGATTCCATTAACAGAGATTTCATTTCTGCCACGCACAGTAACTACACATGATGCATATGTTTGACAAGCTGTAAACTTGTTTAATACAAGACCTGTTGCGGGTGTTGTAGGCGAAAGTCCTTTGTCCAAATTGATTGCTTTTCATGCAATCAAATATTTGCCAAATGATTTGATGCATGATTATGCGGAGGGTATAAAGAAGAATGTTGTTTTTATCTAATTGCTCTAAGTTATTTTCTGTGTTCACATCATTTAGTTACGGAATGAATGATCAGGTTAATAAACCGCCTACAATTCGTCCAACACATCTTACAAATAATAATATAATTGGTTCAGCAAGTCAGAAGCTATGCTTATTTAAATTAATGCCATTCATATTTCACGATGTCATTGATCAACTAACAAATACTTTAGATATTTATACTTGCCTACGTGAAATAATTAGTTATACTTACTCAATAAAATTCAGAAAATCTTGGTTAATGTACTTTCAATCGTTAACAATACGTTTTCAGTCGTTAATGGCTCATCATTTACCCGATCTCATTATACCGAAAATTCATTTTGTCACTGAGTATCTGAGA